CGCGCGTGCAGGGACCAGGTGCCCCCTCTGCCCTCCCCCCACGCACCTCCCCATTTTTCCCCTGCACCTCCCCGCCCGCTCCCCAGACTGGTCGTGCGCCTGCGCGCTGAGCCCTTTGGAGCCCGGCTGGGGTTTCACGTGCTGCTTTTGGAAGGTGAACGCGCGCTGCCCAGCCGCCACTTGACGTGTTTTAGGGGCCCTGGCTCGGACCGACACCCGTCCCTGTGCTCGCGCGGCCAGGAGGCGGCCGGTCTGCGGGTCTTAGGCCCCGGACGGTGAGCAGCTGTTCCTGCCCCGCAGCTCCCGGTGGCGGGCTCCCGCCTGTGCCTGTACGAGGACGGCACGGAGGTGACGGAAGACTGCTTCCCGGGCCTCCCGGACGACGCCGAGCTCCTGCTGCTCACCGCGGGCCAGACGTGGCAGGGCTGTACGTAGGCGTGGGCGCGTGGGCGCGCGGCGGGAACGCTGATTTGCGCCGTAGGAACCTCGGCTGCTGGACTGCTGGGCAGGGCAGGCTCGCCCTTGCTCAGGGCCGGTCTCCGGGCTGTGTGTCGCCACACGCTGCTCCTGGGGCATGGTTTTCATTCGAGCCGTTGTGGTTGGGGTGTGGACACAGGTGTGGCCTTGCTCCGTGTTTCCGCAGTCGCTGAGGGGTGGGATACCTTTCTACACCACCAGCGGTGTAGAAGTGCTCTCTCCTGTCCTGTGTTTCCTAACCGGACTTTTAAAAGCTGTTGAAGGAGCTACTGTATCCTGGGTGTGAGTTTATTGTCAGTGTGTGCACCTTTCAAGTATTTCCTGTTTATTACTCTCATTTTATGTGTCCGACTGTATTGCCTGCGTCTGTGTAAGTGCTCCTGTGTTGTGCAATGCTCGGATTCTCCTGGAACTGGAGGTAGGGACACTTGTTAGCTGCCGTATATGGGAGCTGGGAATCGAACATGGGTCCTCTTGCCGGAGCAGCCAGTGCTCTTAATCACTGAGCCAGATCTCCAGTCCCTGCTGTGTAGCTTTTCGTTCTCTGTTGGCACCCACTCCGACCAGCTGAGCTAGCTGGCCACCTCTTATGCTCTGTGGTAGCCTCGTTTAGAGCAAAAGGTTCTAACTTTAAGACAAAAACAAAAACAAAAGGTCTCATGTAGCCAAGGCTGGCCTCCCATTCACTCTGTACCTGAGGCTGAACTTGGGATCCTCCTGCCTCCACCTGCCAACTGCTGGGATTCCAGGCGTGTGCCTTCACACCCAGCCTCAGAGAGTCCTGTGCCGATGATGGTCAGACTGTTTCTTCTTTGCCTCTGCCTTTGCTTTGTTCAAGAGTGTCTTACCGTACTCTGACCCCATGATTTCCTCCTGCATCTTTCTGCATCACTTGGAATGATCATAAGACCGTACTTCTCAGCTTGCTAACACAGTAGAGCTTGTTTTCTTATTTTTTTATGTGTATGAGTGTATTACCTGCATGTAGGTAAGTGCATCTGTGTCGTGCATGCAGAGGTCAGAAGAGGGCATTTGATTCCCCTGGAACTGGAGTCACAGATGGTTGTCAGCTGCCATTGTGGGTGCTGAGAATTGAACCCTGGTCCTCTGCAAGAGCAGTCAGTGCTCCCAACCACTGAGCCATCTTTCCAGCCCCCATTGATTGGGTTTTGATTATTGAACCAGGCTTGCAGCCCCACTTGGCTGTACTTGTATATTTTTTTGTTGTTTTCGAAGCAGGGTCTCCCTGTAACCCCAGCTGGCCTGGAACTCACTATGGAGACCAGGCTGGCCCTCCATCTCACAGAGATCCACCTGTCTCTGCCTCCTGAGTTCTGGGATTAAAGGTGTGTGCCATCATGTCTGGCCATGGTGTGCTTCTTTTTAAGTTAGTTTGCTCCTGTTTGTTTATATTGCATAGAGTGTTTTCACTTGGTGTTAAGCACTTGCTGGGAGAGCTTAACTGCTGTAGGCAGTTGTGGAAAGGTTCCCCAGGGAAACATGGAGGAGGGATTCGAAGGCCCAAAAGTGGGGTCCTGAGGGATGGCCCAAAGGAGGTGACCTGGAAGAGGTGAGGCCAGAAGAGCCAGTGTGCTGGGGTAGCCCTTTTCTCTAGAGGGCATCTTGCCTCTCCCCTGTCCTCTGACAGGAGGTGGCCAGAGGAATGGAACTGGCGCTGTCACACAGGGGGAGGGCTGGTGACACCAGAGTCAGTTCTGGTAGTCTTTGGGCTCTGCATGACTGGAGCATCTTTCTTGGGGCCAGGGCAGCATGAATGTGTTTCCGTCTGTTCCCCCCAATGGTGACAGATGTGAGTGACATCAGTCGCTTCCTCAGCGTGTTTCATGAGCCACACTCCGGGGTCGTCCAGGCGGCAAGGAAGCTGCTGTCAGATGAGCAGTCCCCACTGAGGCAGAAGTTGCTGAGTGACCTTCTGCACCACGTCAGCCAGAACATTGCTGCTGAGACGCGGGAGCAGGACCCATCCTGGTTTGAAGGTGTGTGAACTGGGGTGATGGATTGGCCTCGCTGGCTGGGGCAGGTAGAGAAGGGCCTCTTTGGAGCAGAGGCCCGGGAGGATCTCTATCTATTTCAGGTTTCAGTGGCTCTCAGACAAGAGCTTGTTTGGCCTCTGGAGCGAGTCATGACACAGGGTCCCAGGGGTTAGGCATCTGGCCAGGACTCAAGGAGGCAGTGTCCTGAGCAGTCATGTACTGTCCTTTTTATTATTCTAAAAATGGCCACCAAATGCAGGCAACATGAAATTTACCATCTTCGCCGTGTGTGTGTGTGTGTGTGTGTGTGTGTGTGTGTGTGTGTGTTTGCATGCGTGCGTGCGTGTAGGTCAGATGATAACTCAGGTGTCATCCTCAAGAATTCAGCTCCTTTGAGACAGGGTCTGTCATTGGCTGGGGCTTATTGGTTAGGCTGGCTGGCCAGCAAGCTTCAGGGATCTCCCCAGGACTGGGATTACAAGTGTGCGCCATCATGCCTGGCATTCTTATATGTGTGCTGGGGATCGAACCCAGGTCTTTGTGCTTGCAAGGCAAGTGCTTTTACTTAGCCGCCATCCCCCTGGTCTCCATCTTCATCATTTTTAAATGTAGTCATCTCAGTATCCATGGGGAGTTGCTTCCAGGACCCCTGAGGCTACCAAAGTCCATAGACACGCAAGTGTCATAGTAAAGGTGGCCCAGTGTTTGCATCAGAGCAGTGCGTGACATCCCCTCATATATTTAGATCATTTCTGGGTCACTTAGGATCCCAACGTAGTGTCATTGCTGGGTAAGTAGTTGTATGATCTTTTAGGGAATAATGACAAGAAAAATAGTCTACAGGGACTAGAGAGAGTGCTTAGAGGCCGGGGATGGCAGCTGAGTAAATAAAAGGACCCGAGTTTGATCCCCAGGGCCTGCTCCTCAAGCATGATGACCCCAGCATCTGTGTAAAAGCCAGGTATGGTGGCCCTGTGTCTAACTCCAGTGTTGGGGGGCAGAGGCAGGCGGATCCCTGGGCTCAGTATTCAGCCGTTGTTGCCCAAGTGGTGAGCTCCAGGTTTAGGTAGAGCCCCTGCCTGTCTCAATAAATAAAGGTGGGAAAGAGTGGTAGGAAAGATGACCTCTGATCTTTACATGTGCAGGCAAGGGTGAGCACACCTCCACACACCACACGTGCACACACAAATTAAAAAAATTAAAGTCCTTTAAAACAGAAAACAACCTGCATATTTAGCACAGGTGTAAGATTTATGAATAGGTCTGTGGACCCTCAGTACTGAGGGTTGACGTGCAGAGGTAGCAGCACTCGGTGCCTGTGCCTTGTCGCTGCCGTGACTGCCCTGGGCCTTCAGAACCCTTCTCATCTTGCACAGCCAAGGCTCTGGCCCCATGGCGCAGCACCTCTGTTCCACTTTCCTTCTCTCGAAATGGGACAGCTCCACGTGTCTTGCCATGTGGCGTCTCATGTAAGTGGAATCACCGTGTTTGTCGCTTTGTGGTGACTCGTCTCATGCATGTGCTGTCCTCCATGTTTACCTGTGCAACTTCCTTTGTGAGGGCAACATCGCATTGTAGAGATGAAGCACATGTGGTGGACACTTGGGGTGCTGAGTCCAGTTGGAGGCGGCCTTGAGTAGTTATCTTTGAAGGGCTTGAGGGACAACCAGATGGAAGCCCCTTGGCAGGGTTGGAAGTGTCTCAAACATTTCAAAGTGAAGATCCCTTTGGAGACCTGCACACCATTGTCAGGCGTCTCTACAAGTGGCAAAGTCTTTTTGACCTCCCCCCGCATCCATCCTCCCACAGTTTGGTTTGCTTGGCACCTGGGCAGGGCAGGGCAGAAACCGAGAGGCCGTGGTCCGCCTGAGGGCTCCACGGGGCCGTCTTCTTGCAGGCTTGGAGCCTCGATTCAGGAATAAGTCTGGCTACCTGAGATACAGCTGCGAGAGCCGAATCCGGAGTTACCTGAGAGAGGTAAGGCCTTGTTCAGGCCAGGGATGCTGGGTAGGCTCTGGGTACGGGGTGGGTCAGTTGGTGCACATCTTTAAGACTACTGACAGGGTAAGCCAGCAGAAGGCCTGTGTACTTCTGAGCAGTTGTTAGAGTCTTTCTGGACTGTGTCCTCCGAGTCCTGAGGCCTCAGCTTTCTGTTTTACATAGACGTCTCCCTGTTGCAGCCTTTGAAGGTCTTTGTGTCGCAGCGGTGTTGGTGAGGGTGTTTCCTCTGTCCTTTGTTCCCTCTCACAGGCACCGTCACTTTCCTTTATTTTTCCTGGGGCACAGTGTGCTCCTCTGACCTTGCAGAAGGGCACAGGACCCAAGGTGCCCGCTGCTCGGAATGCTCTGTGTTGGTGTGCTGAGTGAGCGCGCTGGCCTTCCCTGGGACGGTGGCCAGCAGCTCCCAAGCAGCCACTCTCCGAATCCGGAATCCGAGACGAGGCTGTCCCTGGTGCCCTGGCACCCCCTCCGCCTTGCTTCCTTTCATGAAGGTGCAGGTGTCAGCAAGGCGCATAGTGGAGGGGACCCTCTGGGGTGAGTGGGAGCCCGCCCGTCCTGAGGGGCGAGTGCGCATCATTAGAGAGTGGTTGGCCAGGTGGGCCTTGCATGGTCTGCTGCCCTCAGTGCTACATGGCTCCCTTCTGATGTACTCAGGTAGAATGGCCAGTGGAGGGGAGGCTTTGGAACAGCAGCTTGGTTCTTGGGGACTTTTTCTCCTCCTGTCCTCATATTTGTCACCGGAAGCTTGGCCTGCTGAAGAGCAGTTGCTAGGGGTGCAGGCCTGGGGTTCCATCTGTCCGTCTTTCTCAGCATGTCACCCTTGAGCGTGTTGGTTGAAAGCAGCTCCTGAGGCCGTCTTCTTCCTGTGCACGCCCGCCACCTCACTCCACACCCTGCTGTGTAGCTTGGACTCCAAGTCTGTGTGTGTGTGTTTGTGTTCCCAATGCTCCCATGCCAAAGCCCCTGCCTGGCCAGCTGGCCTTCCGCACAGCCAGTCTCCGCCATGTTCCTGCTGCTCTGGACCCCGCCTGTCCATGCCGGCCTCACTGGGCTCTGGCTGTGTCCCCCATTGGGGACTGTCCTTTGTACTGTATCCTCCAGGGTTCCTTCATAGGTTGCTACAGTCCTGTCCTGCACTTACCCAACCTGTTGCTCTCACCATGAAAGGCCAGCACCTGTCAGCGATCCTCCTGTGCGCGAGTGGTCTGCAGAGACATGGCAGCTGGCTGTGGGGTGCAGTGCTTCTCAAGAACTACTCTGACCTTCAGGTTTCTTCTGGAGGCACTAGCCAGCCAGAGGGCAGACTGGGCAGGATGAAGAGAAAACAGAATTGAGTTTGTTGTTTGCTGGACTGTGACTAAAGTTGGCAAGTGTCCAGGCAGGCGGAGCAGCGGTGTGGGTTGCCTGCTGCCCTGGCCTTTCCTCTTGGGGCCTCTCTGATTTGCAAACCTTTCATCTTCATTCTTTCCCTCCAAGAGTGGAGTCAGCTCGGCCTCTCATTTCTGTCTGCTCATGTGCATGTGAGGTTCCCTTTTGCATTAATAGGTAGGGTGTACTGCAGGGGCCCCTAGAGGGACCATGTTCTGTCCCTGTGCTGCCCCACATGTGCAGGCTCCCCATGCCCTTGGCTCACCGCACCCCTGTGGCACAGCTGCTCAGGTTCTGTCCTGTGTCCTGTACCTTATGAGTCCTGGCAATTCTACGTTGTAGGCACACTGACTGGTCCTGGTACTTCCCCTGCAGGCTGGGTAGACTGGGGCCCTTGGGTCACCACTGCTCACCTGAGCACAGGGGAGACCCTGCTCCTGCTCTGTGCAAACTCATTTAATTCTTTTTTCAGGCAGGATCTTGCTATGTAGACTAGGCTGGCCTTCAACTTTCCATCCTCCTATCTCGGCCTCCCAAGTGATGGGATTGCAGTGTGGTCCGACACTCTCCCACCTTGGGCAGCATTACTGTTGACTTCATTTCATGGGCTCAAGAGTGGTTTCCCAGGGTGGGGCAGGTCTCTGAGTGCCATTGTGAGGCATGGGCTGGGAACTGAATGCAGGCATCAGGGCATGGGCGGGGCATGGACCCAGGCTCAGCGATGCCTCCCTCCAGCTCTCTCTTGCAGGTCAGTGCTTACACCTCCATGGTAGATGCAGAGGCTCAAGAGGACTACTCGAGGATCCTCCGCTCCATGTGCCAGAAGCTCAGGTCTGTGCACTACAACGGCAGCTACTTCGACAGAGGAGCAGAGGCTGGCGGCCGTCTCTGTACAACGGAAGGCTGGTTCTCCTGTCAGGTGAGCTGTGTGCCTGTCCCGAGGCCACCAAGGGCACTACTGAGCATTGCCCTTCTGGGTGAGGCAGGGAGGACATTCAACTGCTGGTCTAGGCGGTAGTGTGCGTGGCCTTTGGATTCAAAGTTGGGGGAGGAGGTGGGGTGGTAGTACGACCACAGGACCACGGCAGCATGCTGGGAGTAACCCGTCTACCTCAGTGTGAAGATGCAGAGGCCCCGGGAAAGGATGCTGTCTCTGATAACAGGGACAAGAAATAACATCTGCCTTTTGGAAACTCAGAAAATAAAGATAGGGGTAATGAGGGGGAAAAGCAATTGGGTTCCAAAGACAAAATTGTTAATCTACCCCGAACAGCACATACTTTGTAGCCCAGTCTGGCCTTGGACTCTCAATTTTAGTATTTATTTCTGTGTATGTGTGTACATGTTTGTGTATGAGGGGGTGCATGTGTCACAGCACACATGTGGTCAGAGGACAAACCACATCCAGCTTTTACATGGGTTCTGGGGGACCAAACTCAGGTCTTTGGGCTTGTGCTGCAGAGCACTTTCCCCTGAGCCATCTCCCTGGCCTTGGACTCTTGACCATCCTCTTTGGCCTCTGATTGCTGGGACTATGGGAGCTGCCACTATGCCTGGCTCAAACATCTTTGCAGGGACCAAATGTTTCAGGGCCTGCCACTCAGTAAGCTTGTTGGATGATAGGACAGTAGCGAGAGACCTCGTTCCAGACCCTGTCCTTGGCCACTGCAGGGCCCGTTTGACCTGGATAGCTGCTCCTCCAAGCATTCCATCAACCCCTATGGCAACAGGGAGAGCCGGATCCTCTTCAGCACGTGGAACCTGGATCATATGTGAGTGTCATCCAAGGCCTAAGTTCATACATCAGAACAGCAACTGGCCAGGGCCTCTCCCTGCTCAGGCAGCTCTCTTGGTGTTCGCTATGCTGCACCTATGTGGTTCTGGCTTGGGGACAGCACCTGTGGAAGCGGCTTCTGTATAGGTGTGTCCTACTCCACCAGCTGTCGGGTGCTGAGCTGTTCCTCCTCTGCCCTCAAGCCCCCCCCCGGATGGATCTGGTGGCCTGGCTCCTCATGGCCTGGTGCTGGGCCCTCAGCGGCTGTGTGCTGTGTTTGGACCAAAGTCAGCTCTGGGGCTGTAATGTAGGAGGTCAGTGCTAGCAGGGTGATGTCACAGCTGGGCAAGCTGGGACATCTCGTGCTGAACCAGAGCAAGGCAGAAGCTTGTTTCTGCAGCTTCCTTGAATTTAACAGCACCCTTGACCTTGCTTTATGAAGACAGTGACTTCCACATACCCTGAAAAAGGTTGTATTTACTCTTGGAATCAAAATTGTAGGCGAGCCCCCTTTATCCCTCCTCACTTAGTCCCCTGTCCTTGCTCCCTGAGGATCCACCGTCCTGAAATGTCCTGTTGATGCTTTGTCAGGAGGTGGAACTCACGTGGTCAGTCTCTGCTCTGCAGTGCACTGTCCGTCCCACACCGTGCTCTTGGGCGTGGACATTCTTTGGAGCAGCATGGAAGCCTTCACCCTTCACGTGTTGGCGGACCAGCTTGCCGTTTGTTCCCTTGCTGGGCATTTGGTCATTCAAGTCCTCCCTGCTACAAAGCACTGGGATGGACGCCATCGGAGAGGAACCCTTAGTCCCCCATTTCCATGCCAGGTAGCCTGCTCCGTGGCCTGGCTGCATCCAGAGCTGGTGAGGGATGCAGAATTGAGTTCCACTTGCCATCATGGGGTGTCTGGTCTGGGTGCACAGTCCAGGTGGACTGCGCTGGCTCTGACCTTCGGTCCCTTAGGGCAAGTGAGGTGCTTGTGGTCTCCTTCGGAGTGTTTCCAGGCCCTTCTCTGGACATTCCCATTCACATGCTTGCCAGTTGCCCTGTGTCCTCGCCAACACTTGGTGTCATTGTGCCTCTTTGCATTTGCTGTCTGAGAAGTAATAATCTGTCCATTTTGCTTCTGTTTGTCTCTTGGCTCCTAGGAAGGTGGGGACCTCTGTGTGTTCCTCTCGGGCCTCCTGGCTTCATCCTGGCTGTTTGCATGACAGACACTATTGCTATATTTTTGCCACATTCCTGTTGTCTTTTATCATAACTAGATTAACTGTTGCTAATTCAGATGTATCCTTCCTGTTAAACTGTTGAAACCCTTCTGACTTGCCTTACCATGAACGCTTTCTCCCTGCTGATTTGCCCTCCCTCCCTCCCTTTTTTGGTTTTTGGAGACAGGGTCTCCCTATAGCCCCAGCTGGCCTGGAACTCACTATGTAGACCAGGCTCAGGTTGGCCTTGAACTTACAGAGATCTGCCTGCCTCTGCCTAAAGGCATGTGCCACCAAGCCTGGCTCTTACCCTTTCTTTTTAGAAGATTTATTTTACTATTTTTATTTTGTGTATGAGTGTATTGCCTGCATGTATGTAAGTGCACCAGCGTCATGCAATGCCCTTGGAGGTCGGAAGAGGGCATTGGATTCCCCTGGAACTGGAATCGAGCCTGGTTCCTCTACAAGAGCAGCCAGTGCTCTTAACCAACCCTGCTTACCCTTTCTGACACGTACTAAGTGTCCACAGAAGATTCCTGGGTTCTTGTCCTAATCCATTATAGTTGGGGGTATCACTCTGGGGGACACAACCAGCATTAAAACGTGAAGTGGGGTGGGCAAGATGGCTTGTTGGGGAAAGGCACTTGCTGCTATGCCTGATGACCCACACAATGGAAAAAGAACATATTCACAAGTTGTCTTCTGACCTCCACACCCACCCAGTGGCTTGTATACACAGGTACATGCACGTGTGCACACATGTACGTGCACACATATGCACACACACATACACACACGTGTGCACACACATAGTTTTTTTTTAAAAGTGACGCTGTGGTGGGCTGTGGCTCTGTAGGGAGCTCTTGCCTAATGTGTGAGACTGTGAGTTCCATTTCCAGTGCTGCCAAAAAAATAGCAGGTGATTCACCCTGAGACAGACACCAGTTATGACGGCAGAGGGTGTTTTGTCAAGTGCCCATATGTCTTCACGTGTGGAGTGGGCTTTAAATAACGCAGATTTGCCAGGCCTGGTGGCACAGGCCTGTCATCCCAGCTCCTTGGGAGGCCCAGGCAGGAGGATCTCGAGTTCAAGGCCAGCCTGGGCCAACTTACTGTGAGACTGCCTTGGAATAAAAAGTGCGTAAGAAAAGGTGAGCTGGTGTCTGTGGCAGGGCGTTTGCCTAGATGCGCAAAGTCCTGGGTCACCCTCCAGTGCCGCCCACCCCCACCCCCAGATGTTGACTTTAGCCAGGTGTAGTGGTGCACACCCGTAACCCCAGCAGTGGGGAGGGTTAGCCAGGAAAGTCATGGGATTAAAGCCACTCTGGGTTACAGAATGAGATCCTATCTCAAAAAATAACAAAACAGTAAAAACAAAAAAATAGGTTTTACCACCATTTACCCAAAAGCTGGGGAAACATTGGTCTGTCTTCCCAGGACACAGCCACAGCACACTTGATGTGTGGAGCTCAGACCCACATGCGTGCATGTTTAAGAGCTAAAAAGTAGGAAGGCTTAGAAGCCGTCTTATTCCTGAGCTAATCCCCTATGATGGCCTGGGCCATCTCCTGTGGCAGCTGGAAGCAAAGTTCACAAACTCCTTGGAGTTAGGGTATGTGGCAGTGCAGGGGAACTGGTCCCTGGTGCCCAGCTGGGCTGGCCATTCACAGCCTGCCCCTTCATTTCCCACTCCAGCACCACTGCAGGCCAGGGGGCTGCACCCCTCCCCACACCTTGTGGTATGTGTCAGGCTCAGCCTGACTTGAGAATGGGCCCCATCACTTCAGGCCCTCAGCACTGGGTGCGGTGGGTGTGGTGGCCTGCGGTAAGCCCTGGAAGATGGGGCCCTCTCCTGAGCGTCTGAGGACTTCCTTCCAGCAAGCCAAGTGCAGGGTCCAGCACACCCTCGCAGGGTCCGGCACGCCCACTGCAGGGTCCAGCACGTCCACTGCAGGGTCCGGCACGCCCACTGCAGGGTCCAACACGCCCTCGCAGGATCCGGCACACCCTCGCAGGGTCCAGCAGCACTCTTGCTGCCAAGCTATCTCTCCAGCCCTCTTTCTAATATTTTAAATAACGCCATAACCAAGTTCTAAAAGTAGGGTAAGCAGTGCCGCCTTCACTGGGGTCTGCTACACTGCCTTGGCCTACGTGTGGCCAATGTCAGGTGATGCCCCCAGTCTCTGAAGCATGGTACGCTGTGCTGGGCCCCTGGGGACAGCTCCCCAAGCCCATCCTTTTTATCGGCGCCTGACCCTTCTGGGGTGTTTGTGGGTGGTGGTGTCTCCTCCCCCTCCTGCCTTGCTGTGTAGATCACGCTGGCCTTGAACTCAGGAGGTCCACCTGTCTCTGCCACCTGAGTCTGGGAGTAAAGGTGTGTGCCACCACGCCTACCAGCTGTGGTTCTTTAAAATTCCTGCTGGTCCTCGCTGCAAGCAGGTGTATCTGCTCAGTAGACACTGCCCTGAGTGTATCTGGGCCGATGGGAAACGTGCGCAGCACCCTGTGGCCTGTGGCATCGACAACATGGACTATCTCCATCCTGGCTTTGCAGAATAGAGAAAAAGCGTACCATTGTGCCGACCCTGGCCGAAGCCGTCCAGGAGCAGGCCGGAAGAGAGGTGGACTGGGAGTACTTCTACAGCCTGCTGTTCACCTCGCAGAACCTGAAATTGGTGCACATAGCCTGTCACAAGAAGACCACGCACAAACTCCAGTGTGACCGCAGCAGGATCTACAGAGCCCGGACAGGACCCGGGAAGCATCCGCCTGCTCGGAAGCGCCGGTGATGCCTGCCGTGGAGAGGCCCCAGTGCCGTGGTAACGGGCTGTTCTTTGTCACTCGAGTTTCTGAAAAAAGCTTTAAAACTTTCCCATAGGTGTGATTCCAGCATACTCTGGAGGACAGCACCAGGCGCTTGCCGGACGCATACCTGCAGGTTCTGGAGTCTTCCTGCTCTGCCTTGCTGGCACTGTGCTTCTGTGGCAGGGCCTCTGTGCCTGTGACCCAGGGTGGAACGTGGCCACCGGGGTGTGAGGGATATTGATTTATGCCTTGGCTCCCTGTTGATCTCCATGGCAGCTCTATCAACTCTTCAAAAACTGGTGCTTCTGGGGTGAAATGCTTGTAGTTCCTAACGCGAAAGGCTTGCTACTGAATTGTTTAAAACTGCAGAGTGGTGATCTTCCAAATGCCTCTCAGTGGGAACAGTAGGCTGTGGCACTATGTGGAGCCAAGAGAAACTACTGTTTTTAGTAGTTTTATAGTAGTTTTAAGATGGTGGCTGTCCTTTTCATAACACATGCCTTACATGTAGACATGCAGTTATTGCATGAGCCGTTGTGAGTTAGGCATTCTGGTACAGAAATGGGAACTATTGAACATACAGTAGCTCAGCTATACAATGTACAGTGCCTTGGGCTGTCTGTGGGTTTTGACGTGGAGTCCTGCTTTGTAGCCCAGGCAGGCCTTAAACTCAGGATCCTTCTGCCTTATTCTCCCAAGTCGGAATGACAGGTGTGCAGCCATGCCATGCTTGGCTTTTGGTTTGGTGAATGTGTTGGCTTGGGCACAGTCTGAGGAGACACCAAATTGAACACAGTGATCTGGGGGGACCCAGCAGGGTGGGATTGGGTCTCCCAATACTAATGTCCTATATCGTGTATTTTATTAATACTTGATTCTTTTGGATAAGCATTTTGTAACATTTCATGTTTTTTAAGGTCATATATTTTATAATATTTGGATTTTTACATTTACCATGTAATCAGGAAAAGCAATAAAGTTCTAAAATAAGCCAAAGTTTGTACCCATTCAGAACTGAGATGCCAGGGGCCAGTGTTTTCTGCCCGCAATGCAGTGCTTTGGGCCAGCTGGGTGGAGCTTTCTGAGGTCCCAGCTGCTCTGGCTTCTGACCTGCTTGTGTCCTTTTCATCTGCTTTCCTGGGGGTGGTCCGTCCTTCTCAGACACCATGGACATGCAGAGCCGCCCCCACCCGGCCTGGTCCAGAGACTGAAGTATTTACGGGGACTTCTGTGTCTCCTCCCTTGCCAAGGTGCCTGGCTCAGGACCCTCTGCACCCTCCTGACCTGAGGTTCCTTCTGTAGCAGGTGGGAGATAGGAACCCAGGCTTGTTACAGCTCGTCTTGAAAGGCAAGCTTTGGGCAGGAACTGGAAGGCGCTCCTGGGTAGGCTGTTGTGTTTTTCCTGCTTCTGGACCCTGAACCGGTCAGGGTGATGGGGTGATTGACAGTTGTTACCCCAACTCCCAGCCTAATGTATGCAGCGAACCCCAGCAAAATGTCGTTACAGGTTGTGCTGTCAGCAGAGACAGTGGAAGCCTGAGACGCAAACAAGCTGGGGACACACACAGACACACACACACACACACAGAGCAAGCAGAAGTGTGGGATCCATGCCAGCTGGTCCCCAAGCCTCAGGAAAGCTGCCCAGGGCAGAGGGAGTCTCAGTTTCCTAATACCACAGCTCAGGGCTTCTGAGAGGAAGCTGCCCTGGGCTCAGCTCTGAAGGCCATTTTTGTTTCCCAAGGGACAGAGCTCAGGGCCCATCTAATCGCCCCTCAGGATGCTATGGTCCTAGTGTGCATCGCCATCACTGAGGACTTTGAGCAAGTGGGGAGCATCCGGGGATGCTGGTTCTGGGGAGCAGTTCTGCAGTGGGTTACAGGATGCCCATCTTAATATCTTTGGTGCTGAGAGCGAGAGACCACAGCTGTGGCTGCGAAGGGAAGAGGCTGTGGTGAGCCTACAGGGAGGCCTGCGTAGAGCAGGCTCCATGCAGTTGGGTGTGGTGCTGAAACCTCAGGGTCTTGGAGATGACAGCGGGGGAGACCATTTAGAGCTCGAAGACCAGATGAAGCGGGTTGATCTTGCGAAGAGGCCACCATGGCAGAAGGGCAGTGATCCAAAGGTGAAGCCAGACTGCTGCGAACTGTTGTCAATGATTCCTATGCAAGGCAGAGCCAGCACAGGGATCCAGGGAGGGGCCCAAGAGGGCCTGTACTCAGGAAGGGAAGCTTGACTGCTCAAGGCCCTGGGCCCACTGTCAAGTTTGATCTGTGGATAGAACCAGGGTGTGAGCATCAAGGTCTTTAGGAAGGAATAGCAGGCCCATCTGCCTTACTACCAGAAATACCCAAGACCAAGGCCCACATTTCCCTGGCTGGCACCCATTGCCTTGGGGACCAGAGGGTCTCCACGGACTCCTCAGGGAGGGACACCTAGAACCTCACACTTGTTTCTCTGAGACCCTGCATCACGTGCCTCCCATGTCTGCCGGCTTCAGGCAGTGAGTCCTGTTGTATGGTGTCTGACTACTGTAATGACTCCTGTGACACCTTCAGTGAGTCGAGAGCCTAGGGCTGGTCTTAGGATCCTAACTGTGTAACATAGTGGGAAAATATCTGCCAGTTTTGCAGGACTGTTCACAGGACAGGCCTGCTGATGCCCGAGACTGCTCAGGTGCCTCTGCAGACTTTTGTGAAAACAAAAAAGTTGTAAGGGGCAGGGGTGGTGATGTATACCTTGAATCCCAGCACTTGGCAGACAGATGCAGGTCTCTGTTTGAGATCAGCCTTGTCTACATAGCAAATTCTAGGCCATTCAGGGCCACAATGAGATCCTGTCTCAGAAAAATAAAAATTATTAGTAGGGGCTGGAAAGATGGCTCAGCAGTTAAGAATACTGAATGTTCTTGCAGAAGACCTGGGTTCAAATCCCAGCACCCACATGGCAGCTAACGACTGTCTGTAACTCCACTTCCAGGGCATCCGACAGCCTCTTCTGTCCTCCGCGTACCTACATGCAGGCAATACATGCATACACATAAAATAAAAATAAATTGTATTAAGTCATGTTTGTGGCACAGATGACTGGATCAGGCTCTCATAAACACTGGCAGACAACTTGGCCGAGGCCCGGAGTGCTCAGAACCCCTGATTTTATTATGCCTTTTTTTTTCTTCTTTTTCTGCAATCAGTGGTTTTAATATGTGCTTTAATAAAGTTTTTAACGTGTGTGTATGTGTGTGTGTGTGTGCGCGCGTGCATGCATTCATATGCACACGTACATGTGGAGGTCAGAGGACACCTTTCAGGAAATGTGTCTTCTTCCCTGGGCTCCAGGGGTCCAACTCAGGTTGTCAGGCGTGGCGACAAGCGCCCCTACCTGCTGAGCTGTCTCACCAGCTGTTCAGACTTCGTTTTGTTTGCATTTGTTCACACTTGCTTGCAGATCCTGCTGTGGGACTGAGCACACACAGCCCCATTCCCTTCCTGCCCCCCATCCCCCCCGCCCACCCCGTCACCACTGAGCACTGAGCACACACAGCCCC